TAGGGAAAATTTTAAATGAGACATTTGCTTTGTTCTCCATGGCACTGTAAGATGACTGAACTCATGCTAGTTTAACTGCTGTAATGCAGATACCTATAATGCAGCTGTGATGAGCAGGTTTAAGGATTTAAGCTTACTTAAACAAAACACTGTCAAAGATAAATGACTGCAGAATGCAGAGAATGGCTGCACCATGACAGACTCAATGTAAATCTGCAGGTTCTATGAAACAGTATAATAGTTAAGTAAACCATAATACCTGACTTTATAGGATGTCTAGTTTAGCTAGTTCTGATGTTGATGAAGCATCTTAACTATACATTTAATTGCAGAATTTAACACCACACCCCAGAAAAAACTGTCCTTGTTGCTTATTTCTTTGGATGAGTTGTTTGTAGAGATTTTTAATGTATTACAGGTAAACTCTCATTTGATGCTTTATATTAAAATCTACTGCCTAATTTGGTTTTGAACAGTTCCTATTTGGTTACTTAATTATTTATGTTCATCTGTTATATGCAAGTGCAGTAAGTTTCACCTGCAGGACAACTTCGAAGTGTAGTTCAGTATAATATGTAAGACGGCTGCCAGGTTAATGAATAGCTCTAGTCTGGAATCTAAAATACATCTAGCCTCCAGTATAAAGCTTACACATTCCATGGAACTTGCTGTTTTACTCTGAGATACTAATTTACTTTTATTCTAATTATCTACATATCCTACACTGCAAAACTGTTCCATTGGAAATATCATAACACTCTTTAGAAACAGTTTAATCTGTTTCATATTAAATGAGCAACTAAGCAGTGGTTTATCTATTTACAGAAATTTTTAGCCACAGCATGAGCATGATGTATCTTGGCTAGTCTCCAGAAAGGCTTCACACTAAAGTTTGTGACCTAGATGTAACCAACTACTTGCTCTGCCTTTTTTTTTTTTTTTTTTGGCATAGAGTTGGCAGTGTCCCAGTTACCTCTGATGTTTGTAGTCAGGAGCTCCATCTTGTGGTTTATCTGTATTGAAACCATTTGTCTTGGTTACCTGTAGAGCGTACAGAGGACTGTAAAAACACTTTTTAAAAAGCAATGTGCTTTTGAAATTCTCAGATTTCATTGAAACGTTTAAATTTGTCAAAGATATCTGTCACAGCAAATGTGAAATGCAGATCTTCGCCTGATATGGGCAGGATAACTTTAGATGACTTTTTTGTGAAGATAGCCAAGAATTGGAACAGATTATCCAAAGAGATTGTGCAGTCTGTGTCTCTGGAAGGTTTCAAGACCTTGCTGAGTGAAGTTCTGAGCAACTTGGTTTGCATTCATTTTTGACACTCTTTAAGTTAAGAGATTGGACTACATGACTCTGATGCCCCTACCAAACTGATTTAATCCATAAGTCTCTTCAGGAAAAGGATGTGAGAGAAAAGAAGTATTTTTGTTAATAACAAGTCTTTGCCATTTGATTTGAAATGTGTGTTGTGATTTGAGAAGGAGGATTTGACACCTCTTCTTCAGTTCTCTGTTCTACTGGAAACACAGGTGTTGGATAAGTGACTTTAGGGTCTGAGAGTTAGTGAATCTTCTCAGAGGAGCATTAATTGATCTTCCTTCCCGTAACATGCCGAAAACAATTAAGGATTGAAGAAGACTGTAGCATTGAGATGCTAATGGCAACAGAATATGTGAGATATTGGCTTCTAATCTTACTTTTGCCTTGCACCGTCAGTATGTTGGCTACATATGATTAGTGACATAATGGATAGTAGTGCTGTTCTCTGTACTGCTTTGTCTATTTCTCCACACCACTTAGATGTTCTATAATACTCTCACATCTGCCTTTAGAAAGTGCGAACTTAGTCTTCATTCAGCATGTTCATTGAAGCTTCGAGTGATTTTCCTGTTCAGGACTTAAAGTGGAGACATGTTTTTAAAGTTTAAAAAGGAGTAAAAATGAAGCTTTTCTTTAGTTTTCAGACCTCACAACTCTCTCTTAAATTATTCCCTGCTCCCCAAAAGACAGAAAACACCCCATACCTACTGGCTGCAGTTTAAGATGCAAATAAAATTAGTTTTGACCAGTCTTACTTCTAATTAATATTGTTCAAGCATCTCAGTGTTGGTTCCACCTTCTTGGCTGGTATGTTGCATTAGATATTTGAGCCTTTACATAACTTGGATTCAGGCAGATGCGTTAGGTTAAAGCATACAAGAAGGTTTATAACGACTAACTCTGGATGGTGTCGCCTTTTATGGAATTTTAATCTTTAAAATGCAAGTCTAATCCACTAATTTTGGAAGGGAAAACAAATTTAATGAGAAAAGGTCATCAGCCATCCATCATAAATTTCTCCCAGAGCTTGGTTTATCTCAGGCTGGGCTTTCTTGATCAAGCAAAAGACAATGTCTTCTCTCTCAACCATTCGTATGACAGCAGCAGCAAACAGGCCTGTGAGTAATCCGCGTTAGGTTTAACCTGTGTCATTTTACCAATCTGCTTAAACATTGCCCTGATACAAGAAGGGAATTTCATGAATGGCAGAGACAGTAAACAGCCATTTGATGGCAGTTTTGAGTTATGCTGCTTTAAACTAATCTAATTTTGTGGTAAATCATATTTGCTTTTAAAATGTTTCTTGGAAACATGGAATATGGTCCATTAAAAAAAAGTCTGATAGCTGATGCAAATAAAAGGATTATAATTGTATTAAAGTGCATATTGATGGTTTTCTTAAAATTTTTAATTAGACTTGGTCACATGGTTCTGAAAACAAACTAGCGTGCTAAGCTTCTCTCATCTCAGTGTCTAGAAGACTGAAGCAGAGAGGCTGTGATCAGTGAGTTCCACAAAGGTGCAGCCTTTTATATTGATAAGAACTGAGACATTGGGGGTGTGGATGGACATTCATGAAGAAGTCTGTCAGAGTTTGATTGTCATTACTATATGTAATCTGCTTATTTCATGAAGCTATTTCTAGATCTCAAATTAGGCTACACTTTTGTCATTAAACATTGTTCATGGCATTTTCTTGCTCTGCATTACTTTTTTTTCTGCTGTGTATACTTTAGCAAGATATTATTATTTGTGTACTTCAAAAAATAACTAAATGCTGTTTTAGACTTGCCCAGTAGGTACTAGAGGCTGGCTTTCAAGTGCAGGTGTATTCTGTACATGTGCTTTACATGAATATACGTACTTAACAAGATGTTGTAGGACATGGTGTCCTTCTATAGTCAGTTTTAAACACTGCATGGAAATAATACAAAGTCAAGCAGATTTGAGACTTAATTTCCTGCAGAAAAGAGGAATATTGCTAAAGAAATCAAATTAACAATGAATAGAAGATAGACTATCAAAATTTTGATTTTCAGAGTAGAGATTCATAATAAAATATTTCCTGTGTGATTTCAGTATAGCGTTAAAATAAGAATCATTCCTATGTGGAAAGGAAGAAAAATTTTAATGACTTCTGCTCTTGAAGTGAATTTTTCCATCACTCTGTGTTGGTCAGTTTCAGTGCAAAAGCACTGAATCACCTGTCCTGTGCTACGTGATTCCATCAGCACTATGGAGCTGTTCCTTCTGGAAGAAGGAATGATATGGATATATTTATAACATCAGTGTAGAGTTTGCTTTAAATATGTGTGCTGTGTGGTGTTCTATCCTGTGTGGACAAAAAGTAGAAAGTGTTCTCAAATGTAAAAAGAACTGCGAAAAAGAATATATTAGTTTTGTAGAAAACTATTGAGAATTAATCAGTCTACTCATCTGATCTGAAGGGTGTTTTCATATATTTGCTCAGTATAGCTTGTGTCCACCAAACTCATGGTTTTATTCTTTTCTACCCAGAAAGAATCATGCTACTGTCTTTGATCTTGTCTCTTGGGGCTGTATCCTACTAAGAGTGCAATGGTAGCAGGAGGAAGGAGAAAACATGGATCCCGTCTTCACTTCCTCTCCTACCTTCCCTCTCAGTAGTGCCAGATATGACAGAAGCAAGCACAAGTGTAGGCTCTTCTGTTCTGTCTCTGCTTCCCTCTTTGTGTGTGCACAAGTACAGAGGCTTTATGTTAACATCTCATCCGGTTAGCTCAGTCAGTTGAGCGTGGCGCTAACAGCACTAAGATCACGGGTTCGATTCCCGTTCAGTCCCCAAGTGTTGCCTGATCTAGTCTAGAGGTGGCGTCCCTGGCGGCAGGGAGGCTGGATTAAAATGATCTCTGAGGTCCCTTCCAGTTTAGGCCGTTCTGTGATTCTAAGATATGGCAGTGTGTTCTGCCAGAGATAGTGGTGTGGGTTTTGAAGTTTTTCTTCTCAAAAACTTGTATAAGAAGGTATAAGAAGGATCTTTTAGCTTGTGACTGATGAGTGCACTTTCCTCTCCAGCAGTCCAGCTTTCCTCAGGTTCCTTCGGCTGTTCTGTTGGTTTTTTTGTTTGTTTATTTTTTGTTTTGTTTTTTCTGGTCAATAATGGTTTCAACAAGCCAAAATGTTTTAATAAGGCTATTTTAACCATCTTTCCTTCCTGGTAAGGGAACAAAACAAGCCATGATAATACTTATTTTGGCGGATATGATATCATAGAAGGTTAGGGCACTGTCATATAGGATATATTAATAGGCCTGAAAATTAGAATGGGAGCCTGGCACTAAGAGTGCTTCACGTGTAGTTTAATTTTCAGTACAAGTTTTTTTTTTGCAGTTGGACTATGATGAGCTGAGTAACAAAACTAAGTCTTGCTGTCTCTGTCTTTCAGAAACATGTCAAATTCAAGGAACGAGCTCTGCTAACCTCACTTGCAGTGCCAGCACAAAGTCTTCACTTCCCAACTATCTGTATGTCTTTATCCTGGGCCAGCTGCTGCTGGGAGTTGGAGGAACTCCACTATATACTTTGGGTACAACTTTTATTGATGATAGTGTCCCGAAACACAAGTCTTCCTTGTACATAGGTAACTTTAAACTGTTTATAACACATTGAATACATCATAGACTTCAATGCCTAACATATGTGTTTATGAGTTCCTTTAATTAAGACGGTCTTCTAATTGTTTACTCATGTATATGAAGTATTTCCATATCAGTTGCTTTGCAATTTAGGTTTTAGTAAGTATCAAGTTCTTTTCAGTAGTTATTTTACGGAACATGGTAAGGCTACTTCATGTACATCTCCTGTTGTTTTTTTGCGTCAGTATTGTTAGCAACAGAATATGTTGTAGCAAAATTTGCTTTTTAATGTTGCAGGTGTTCAAGTTTTCATTTTTTAATTTGTTTTTCAGCGTAGCCAGACCTTACTGTATCTTTGAGCAGCTTTGCTTGTATGTCTTCTAACAGTAAGCTGACCCCCAGTGCAGGGATGCTCATGTGCATCATGTTATCAATGTGGCTTTCTAGCCACATACAAATTTAGAACTTCAGGAGGAAATACTCGAAGTTATATTCTCTTAATTGCCTATAAAAATGGAGAATCTCTTTGTTCTACTGTGGGTCAGTTTGAAAGCTAAGGACTATTAATTCTTAGCGGTGGTTTTTAGTCTTTTCCAGTGAGCATTCTATGAGTTACGTGCATTTTTACTAGGAAGTAAGTAAGCAGTCTAAGTGTGTTTTTTCTGTGCATATGAAGATATTTGCTCCTTTTTTGCACTTTAGGTGTAAGCTGGTACAGGTATATTAGCTATACTGCTAAGTTGCAGAAGCAATTTAAAGTATCTTAGATTCCTGACTACTCTCCAGACTAATGTAATATTTTAGGGGGAAAAGTCGAAATGATCACCTGTCTCCGTACAGTTATTGCATGTTTGTTCCAGACAAGCCACTTCATTAGATGTCAAAAAATGGAACAGTTGCATACGTTAAATAACAAAGCTAGCTTTTAGTTTTGCTGTTTCTTTATATTGAGAGAGAGGATTATTACACTTTTCATTTTTCCTGAAGCCAGTGAAATAGAGCGGAATTAGGACTGTCTGCATGATTAGGGGATCAAGAAGTGAACTGAAAACTCAAGAGATTGGTGTCAGTCCTCATAACAGACCAATACAATAAATTAATGCCTGTGCAACCTTCAGACAGCTGCTGATTTCAGAAAAACAGTGCATTCTGTGTAATACAGTGGAACTTGAATGCGAGTGAGTGGACAGGTAGCTACATTAAGGATTACTTTTTTCATCTAATGTATTGAAGATTTAAAATACTAAAATAATATTTGCTTTGCCGGATGCAAAACAGCAAAAAAACCTCCAGCCCTAAACTTTCTGCTAGTATCTGTAAATAGCGCTAGCATAATAGACTGTAAGCTTGCAACTTGTAAGTTAGTAGTGTCTCCTTTTCTGTAACTGAGTACATTTTCATGAAGACTGTTTTCCTCTTGCTGATTTAAGGCATCTACATCTAAAGCCACTGAAAAGTTAACAAGTTCCAATTGGCAGTTTAAACTGAATAGTATATAAGAGGAAATAATTTCAAACCCAGCTTAGAAGGTGCTTATGTGGAATGAATGTGGACTTAAAGATCCTATGAGCATGTCATTATTACAGAATGCAGGAAAACCTGGGATATGTCAACTCAGTATTTATTTTGACTTACTGAAACTTGAGTGTCCCCTTCTGTGTCGCTTTCCCTTTTGCGCTCCTCCTAACATTCACTCCCCCATCATTCCTTTTTGCTGTTTAAAGAAAGTGAAATAATACTAAGTAGTCAGGATGCTGACACTTTGGAAACAAATGAGAAATACGAATTCTTCAACCTGGGCAAAAGCAGAGAATATCAGCAGTAAGGATGGCTGTCTTTGCAATTATGTAGACAGATCTAGTTGCTATTAGTTGCAGTCCTTTTTCTGCAGATACAGTGCTCCAAAGCAGTGCTAAAGTGCAACAGAAAGCTGGCAAATAGGCCAGAGAGACCACTGAGAAAATCTTGTCCTAAGGCTAAAAAATATGACAGATTTGAAAGTACTCTTTATCAGGTTATCATTACGCCTGAAGCTTTCTGGTCTTGGCAGATCTAAAAAACAACTTAAGACTCAACATATAAATATCACAGAATTGTGGGAGTTGGAAGGGAGCCCTGGAGAACATCTAGTCTAACGAGATTGCATCCTATGTAATCCAAATATAAAAAAAAGAAAAAATTATAAGTATAAATATGTAGGTTCTTAAAGATTCTAAGCATGTGCTTTTAACAACTGATGCTCATTACAACCTCACTAAAGAAATTCTTTCACAAGTCAGCTTGTGATTGTAGGCACAAGATATATAAAAGGCAGTCTAATAATGTGTAAAGATACTGTCACTGTCTTTGCTGAACTTCTGAGTTGCAGCTTTTAATGAGATGCCTATTTTCTTCTTAAGGGATGAGTAAACAAAAATTGTGTCTCCTACATGTTAGTATAATGCCAGTGAAAGAACTGGTTGGATTACAGAAACCATTTGATCTGAAGTTGATTTAGGATGTTTTTTTAAAAAGTTATAAATTGTATGGTGAACTTAATGTATTTTCTTTTCTAGGAATTGGCTATTCCATGTCACTGCTGGGTCCTGCTATTGGCTATGTCTTGGGAGGGCAGCTACTTAATATTTATATTGACATACAGATCCCAGAAAGGCAAGATAATACTAATTTTTTGCTTTCTATTTTCTTTTCCTGATAATTCTTATTAAAATCTTCAGCTTTTCTCCGTTCGAGTAGGAGAAAATTTTTTGTTTGGAAAATACTATGTTTTCATAAGCTTCTTTATTCTTTATATATGCTACCCTGCATTCACAAGGGCTTCTAACAAGCAAGTTACTTCTCACAGTGAGTTGTCACTCTTGTATATGTAAGTTTCTCTGTAGTGTGAATGCTTACTTCTAGCTTTTTGAGATACTGCCTTTTATAAGCTGATTAACAAAAAATGCAGCTATTGATTTTTTTTGCAAAAAGTTTCCCTGAAGTGGGATATGAGGGAAAGGGTACTGCTACTTACTTACTGGGGAAGAGCTTGCTAGAAAATCTACCAGTTGAGTAAAAGGCCGCTACTCAAGAAATTTTATAAATTGTACTACCGTCCAAGCCAACAATTTCATTTAGACTTTGGTTTCTTGTGTTTTAGGGACTTTGGATCAATGCAATGGCACTCTGAACTTATGTATTAGCTTTCACATAACTTATTGATTAGGAAGATCCTTTCTAAAAACAGCTTTTTCAGTGTCTTGATAATGCTACAGGATCTTGAAACCAGGGCCAAATAGCGGTCTTCATATCAGAATGGATTTGACTAATGAGTTGAAAGCTATACTTCATAGAATGTAATACAATAATAGAGCTAATAAATATGCTTTAATCAAGAAAATAAATGTAATACATGTAGAAAACAACGTGACAATATTCAAAGACTTTATGTTAAATCAGTAATAAAAAATAAGACTAAAAATTTCAACTCCCATCTGAAATTGCTAGTTAGAATTCATGCTTTTCCAAATTATTTTTCCAGTACAAAGATGGATCAAGATGACCCACGTTGGCTTGGAGCATGGTGGATAGGATTTCTTGCATGCTTTTTTGCAATATGGCTTCTTATCATACCTTTCTCATGCTTTCCAAAACATCTGCCAGGTAAATGTTTAACAGTAATGGGCTTGTTTCCAATATGCAGCCTTTAAAACAAGGTGAATGGGCAAGGGGGATGATCTTATGTAAATAATGATGTATGGTTGGACTGGAAACAGGTAAAGTAGAGAAACTCATGGCCAAAATTTGGAAGATGCTTGCAAGCGAAGCTGCTATGTTACCCGCCAGGAATCATAAGGAAGTTCCATTGGCTAGCTCATGCATTGTTGTCTTTGACTTTGTCTTATTGTGTTGGGTAGAATAATAAAGCATGAATCAAAGTATCCCAGAGTAGTCTTATAAAAAGAATAATTTTAATATAATATCATCCAGAAGAACTTGCTGTCCTTATCTGGCTAAAAGTAGAGGAGAAGAAACAAGGAAGAAGGGAACTGGATGATTTAAAAAAAGTGAAAAATTTCAGGATAATATGAAATTTGTAGGATATCCCTGACAATATCTTCTTACAGCCAAGGCCTTCCAATGGAAGCAGACTGCTTTCAGCCCAGTTTTAGTTTTTGCAGCAATACACTTGATCTTTTTATGGATCTGTACCAATAAAATATTGAATAAGACTTACAGTGTCTGAACTGTTTTCCCAAGGAAGGGAAGCGCTTAATTTGATGCTTTTTCTGATGTTAAGTCTAAGAACACAAATATTTAATGTTTCAATTGTCACTAAATATGTGCATTTATAGGAACAGCAAAGATACAAGCTGAAAAAATCTCTGAAACCCATAATGATGGAAGTGAGATGTTTGTTGAGACCAAGAATGTTGGAAAAGGTTTTAAAGACTTTCCCATGGCTCTCCTGGTAAGGAAATGTTGAATTCACTAAAACTGGTATAATTTGAGAAATACAATTATTTTTTCAGGCAATATATATTTCTTTAGAAATCTAGTTGCTGCTTTGTCACAGAATCACGGAATGTCAGGGCCCGGAAGGGACCTTGGAAGATCATCTAGTCCAATCCCCCTGCCCGAGCAGGACCGTGTTGTGATAGGGAAGTCTCCAGTGCTACTGATAAATTAATGCATATTCAAGATTGTTTAAGCAAGAAATGCGTATTAGTGAAGTTCCACATGAGAGTATGTGCTTTAATATACAGTGATTTATAGTTTACATGGTACTACAATGACATAATTTCCAGACTGTTATGTGAATTTCCCCCTGTAGATACTGTTGAAGAATCCAGTGCTTATGAGTCTTGTAATAGCCAGTTCTTCAGAAGCTTTAGTTGCCACTGGCTTTGCCACATTTCTACCAAAATTTATAGAAAATCAGTTTGGGAAGACATCAAGTTTTTCAGCAACTCTTGGAGGTAATGTGGCTTTTCATTTTTAAATCTTGGATGTGTTGTGTTGAACACCTCATTAATGTTATAAAATGGCTAATGTAAACTTCCATCTATGTTTACCTGAAATATTTGTGAGTATAGTTACATGAAACTCTGTTTTCGCAACAGAATATGCAAGGATAACATAAAAACCCTGTTGCTCACTTGTCTGTAAGTTCAGAAGACTTGATACTTATATTCAGAATAGAATGAGATTTTTTGTGTGCTGCTGAAACTAAGATATTTCTTTCTTGGTGAGGAACATTTAATTTTCCTCGTTTAAAATGAGCTGAAGGAGCACTAGGACTTAGTCCCTACTAAAGGATGCAAGATGAGGGGCAGCTAGAAAAAAAGCAATGCAAGTAACAGTTTGACTTGGCCTTCTGAAGAACCACAACGAGATTATGGTGGATAGGCCAACAGATGCTTGCAATATAGCAGACTTACTTCTGGAACATGTCCTCCTAAATTACTTCAGCTGCATAGTGCTGCAGTATAAGCATATGCTAGTTGAAGTGCTCTTTCTCTAGAAGAAATAAGTTTAGGAGAGACTAGGATATAACTAGGTAAATATCAATATTCAGACATCATTGCTTCAGAACAAAGCATCTCCAAGTTTTAGAAAGAAATACACTGGAATAAATGTTTAATTGTTGAACTGTAATTAGCGGTGAAGTGGAAAACTGAATGTTCCTTTTTTTTGTCTATAGACCTTGTCTGAATTTCTTTTGAGTTGAAAATACTGATAATATTAATCAATTGAACAGCTTTAAAAAATGTGTGTTCTAATGTTGAAAGCAAGCTGTACTTGAACTAATGTTGAGCTAGCTATTCTTTTACTAATGACCATGTTAACTCTTTAAACTACCTTTGACTATGGGTGCCTGCAGCCTGTACAGTTTGACCCCTGTACCAGAGCTGTCTTCAAAACTAGCTGTTTTAACTCTGTGTAACTTGCACCAACCTATGTGGTGTGTTGTACTATAAATGCTTATTTATGGAACTGGACTACTAATCGTGCAGAGGATAAATCATTATGGTCTGTATTGCCTATGACAGCAAAACTGACCCGCTGATCTAGTCTTTTTATAATCTCTCTGTGGATGCCTTATTGTATACAGCACTGCCTTGTATGTAATAGTGACTATGTTCTCTTCTTAAAGTTCATAACACAAATGTGTAATGAAGAATGTAAAGACGTGAAAAAAAAACCCACCACAACACTACTGAAGCAGTGAAAGAACATTTTCTGTTTTCATGAAGTGGCCTACTGGTGTTTAGAGAATCGTGCCCAGAATGTAGTACTCTTAAGTATACAGTTTTGCTGTGTTGAATTTGAGTTTTGGAAAGCTGTAAGTTACCTTGTCAAGTTGAACTTCTGGAAAGGGTAAAGATAAGGTAAAGGTAAAATAAATTACTGATGCTGACAGATTATGGTAGGATGGTCTGCAAATGTCATCACGTGGACTGCATCTTATGATATAGGTAACTTGTGAATTTTTTTAATCATAAAATTACTCTAAATTGCCTCACTAATTGTATCTTGCTTTTTTTGTGTAATTGCTGGTGTCTTGTTTTCCTCTAGGACTTGTATTAATTCCAGCAGCGGCGCTAGGCCAAATCGTAAGCGGCATCTTGATTTCCAAGTGCAAAATGGATTGCAAAAGCATAATCAGGTTCATGATAGGCACTTATTCAGTAGCCTTACTATTAAACACGGTGTTTTTGTTTGCCAAATGTGGAAATGAACCTTTCGCAGGTGTCTCGGAAACATATAATGGGTAAATATATTTTAATGCGCTCAAGTATATTTTAACGCGCTTTTGGCTTTGGCGTTAATGTTTGAAATAATTTTGCCTTGTTCTGTGAAACTAAAATGTTTTATGGAACTCTAAAATCTTGTTCTTGGAATCTTTATGTAATGGACAGTTAAAGTGTAAGCATACATTGCCTGTAAAATGTTCTGAGCAGATTGGTTCTAGCTTCTGTAACTGTTCTAGACGCAGTAGCGATGGTGCTGACTAGAGCTAATTTTGTGTCTCGGTAGAAGTAGTGTGTCTTGTATCTTGTTTTCTTTGCCAGCTCATGAGAATCTGGGCAGTTTGTTTCTGGAAGGAGCCTGCCATGTGCAGCAATTTCATGAAAGCAATGAGGTGTGCTGCAGCTTAAATTAATTGCTAACTTTTCCCTAGGAAAATTAAGACATTGTGGCATTAGGTTCTAGCGCACTTACCCTTCATTCGCAAAGGAGAGTTTTTGTGTGGTAAAGTAGCTGACAGAGGTAGTAATTTAATGCAGAGAATATAGCTCAGTGGCCCAAGTTGAAGAATAAAATGGCTGGGCTAACACAGTTAACTGTAAACATAATTAAAAAACCTTTCAGTTAATATGTATAGGAAAGACTTCCTAAACAGAGTCACAGAATCACAGAACGTTAAGGAGTGGAAGGGACCTCAAAAGATGGTCTAGTCTAGCACCCTGCCAGAGCAGGACCACCTACAGTAGATCGCACAGTAACGCGTCCAGGTGGGTTTTGAATGTTTCCAGATCAGGAGACTCCACAACCTCCCTGGATGGCCTGTTCCAGGGCTCTGTCACCCTCACAGTGAAAAAGTTTTTCCTAATATTTTTATCGAACCTCCTATGTTCCAGCTTGTACCAGTTGCCCTTTGTCCTGTCTCTGGACATCGCTGAAAAGAGACTGGCTCCGCCCTCCTGACACTCCCTCATATTTCCTATATATGTCATATAAATATGACGTATTTATAAACATTTATGAGATCAGCTTCCTCTTCTCTAAGCTGAAGAGACCCAGCTCCTTCAGCCTTTCCTCATAAGGGAGATGTTCCACTCCCTTCATCATCTCT